CAACAGCCACTCGTGGTCCTTCCCCAGCGAGCCCCTGCAGCTCCTGGTCACAGGTGAGGACGGCCCCCGGCCCTGCCTCACGGTGCGGGCGGAGGGGCCTGGGGCTTTTTCCAGGGTCTCTTAGCCCGGAACAAAGCACTGGGCGGGACCCGAAAAGGTGGCGAAGGTGCACATTTATTAAAGGTGGGAAAAAGGGGCAGCAAAAAGACAGAGACCCCAGGACGAGGGAAAGGGTCCTTCGGACCCAGAATTCCCGGCCATCTCCTCCATGCAAGTAGGGATAAGGACAGGTGTCCCATCAGACACCCACCCGGCTCAGCCCTGTGCAAACTGTATGTAAATGACGGACCAGGACCAGTGTCTTTTGATTGGTCGTGCCCATATGCAAATGAGGGGTTGAAAAGACCGTCTTCTGATTGGTCCTGCCAACAGCAGCATATTCCAATGAAGGGCTGAAAATATCCCTTTTCCCGATTGGCTGTGTGTACTGTGGTGATGGTTGCTCCTCGTGGGGAGTCTCCCTGGTTGCCTGCTCTGTCACCTGGAGCCCTGAGAGAACCCCTGACAGGAATGTGGAAGATCCAAAGGGACTTCCATTTCTTAGAGACCCAGTTGGTATAGCTGCATGTGACAGTGCAAGCCTGTAATCCCGGCACTCTGGGAGGCTGAGGCAGGAAGGTCATGAGTTCGAGCCCAGCTTGGGTAACTGAGCAACTTGGCAAGACGTTATCTTTACTCAGTAGAAAATAAAGCAAGGGTGGGGCTGGGGCTCAGTCAGTGCAAAGGCCCTGGGTTCAAGTCCAGGAGAGAGGGGAGGTCCGGGGGAGGTTCCTGAGGAAGAACACTGGGGAGATGGAGTAGGACAGAGAGGCTGAGAAGAGCAGAGGGGCAGACCTGGAGAAACCCCGGTCCTGGCTTCTCCCTCCGTTTCCAGGAGACGGGAACACCAGCTTCGCCTCCTCGGACCCCACCTCTCCCGCAGGTGAGGCCCTGGGCTGCTGAGCTCTGGGGAGGATCAGCCCTTCG